AAAATCCAGGCCGGGTTTTCACGTGACTTTATTGGGGATTTAAATTTTCATTCAGAAGAAAGCCAGCATTTCGACAGAGGCCGAGATGCTGTTCTTATTATGGTGGAATGATCTGTCTGCATAGATAATAGTCTGATTTTTGGAAAGAGGTTGTGTCGAGAAAGGCGCTCTTTTTTCTAAAGGTCATTAATCTTTCAACATCTGCATCTCAAGTCCAGCTTTACAGCTGCTGTTCACACATGGATCTCAGATTTCCTGCCTTGATGAGAAGCTTGGTTCCCAGATCTCCACTCGGTGGAGTAGAGTGGAATGATCTCCACTAGATAAGAAAATAACAGGGTTGGAGGTCTTCATGTCCAGGGGTCTCCAACCTTGGCAACTTTAAGACTTGTGGACTTCAACTCAAAGCTGGCTGAGGAATTCTAGGAGTTGAAGTCCACAAGTCTTAAAGTTGCCAAGGTTGGAGACCCCTGTTCTAGTCCAAGCACAAGCAGAAGACCTAAGCCATTCTGAACAACTGTCTGTCCGAACTCTTCTTGAAAATCTCAAATGATGAAGCACCCATGACTTCTGAAGGCAAGTCCTTCCACTGATTAATTGTCCTCACTGTTGGAAAGTTTCTCCTTAGTTCTAGGTTGCTTCTCTCCTTGGTTAGCGTCCATCCGTTGCTTCTTATCCTGCCTTCTGGTGCTTTGGAGAAGAGGTTGACTCCCACTCCTTCTTTGAGGCAGCCCAAAGGACGCTGGACCGCTGCTAAGTTGACCCCAGGGGTCAACCTCTTCTCTAAAGCACCAGAAGGCAGGAGAAGAAACAATGGACGGAAACTAAACAAGGAGAGAAGCAACCTGGAATTAAGGAGAAACTTCCTAACAGTGAGGACAATTATCCAGTGGAACAGAAGATGCCTTCAGAAGTTGTGGCTGGAAGTTTTTAAGAAGAGACTGGACAGCCATTTGTCTTAAATGGTCTAGGGTCTCCTGCCTGAGCAGGGGGCTGGACTAGAAGACCTCCAAGGTCCTTCCATCTCTATTCTGATTCAAATCCCTTTTAAGTGGCCCACTTCTTACACCGGATCTTCCCTTACCATCCCTTCCCGGCTGGCAAATTGCAGCTCTTAAATTTTACATCCAAACACCAGAAAACGGCATTAAATATTTATTCTCTCTCAATCAAAGCTGGAGGAATGTTATCTTCGAGGAAATTATTGCCCTGCTTCCAAATTCTCCGCTTTCTTTTTTCTTTTTGCTTCCAGTTTTTGCTTTCTGGAGCTTCTCTTAGCTGCAAAGGGCTCCTTGCATGCACAAGATTGTGCGAACGCACAGACACACACACACACACACATAGAGAGGCACACACACACACCACTCAGACAGGGGTCAGGAGAGGACACTGAAATCATTACTTCTTTAAAATAAGCAAGCCAGAGATATTCAGCATCTCTCTTGTTCAAAGTGAAGTTGTGGCGTTGAAATAAAGCTGCATTCCAAATTCTGAGAAACATATTTCTTCTGGCAGGGAACTGAGATTGAGGGGAAAAAAAACATCCTCTCCAATTCCACACACACACACAAAACACACACACATACTACGTTGTGTTGAGGACTACCTGTAGTATCTAACCTGGGAGTAAGCCCCACTGAATTCCATGGGGGTGTTCGAATAGAAGCTTCTAAGACTGTATGGTAAGAAGATGCCTGTGGATCAGAAAGTTTAGTTCACGTCTCCTCAATGCCACCGGCCATCAGCCTAAAACTCAGCCTCCCTCGCAGGGCTGTCGTTTGGATTGAGAGAAACTCTCTGAGTGGTGCTGATGCTGACCTAGAGTACACTCTTGCTGGCTGCACTTCTTACTTCAAGAGGGGTTTTTAGTGCCTGTTCAGATCTCCCTGAGATGTCTTATAGGAGAGTAAGGCCACCCAAAGTCACTTGGGATAGTGAGATGGGTGGCCTATGAATTTTATAACTAAATAAAGTTATAAAACTTGGGAGCTACAATTCAACATTTGCTGGCTTGATGAATGGCTTGACTTCCCTTAAGAATGAAAGCAAGCTTGTTCAGGAGTAATGGACGGACCCCTTCTGGGGACTGAGAGATGGGAATTCAGCAGGAGTTGAAAGCTTGATTCCTGGCGATTATGTATCAATCAATCAGAATAGAGCTGGAAGGGAGACCTACATCATTTCAGAAGTGGCTGTCCAGTCTCTTTCTTAAAGCCTCCAGTGATGGAGCACTCACAATTCTGGTGGCAAGCTGTGTTCACTGGTTAATTGTCCTCACTGTTAGAAAGTTTCTCCTTAATTCCAAGTTGCTTCTCTCCTTGATTTAGTTTCCATCCATCATTTCTTGTCTTGCCTTCTGGCGCTTTGGAGAATAGCTTGACCCCCTCTTCTTTGGGGCAGCCCCTCAAATACTGGAAGACTGCTATCATGTCCCCCATTAGCCCTTCCTTTCTCTAGACTGGCCAAACCCAATTCCTGCAACCGTTCTCCATTCGTTTTAGTCTCCAAGCCTTCAATAGTCTAAGTTACATAGAAGGATCCATGAAGGTTTACTTTTAAGTAAATAAGTGTAGGTGATCAGAGTGTACCCTATAGTAGTGAATCAGGCTTATTCTGAAGGGAGTGTGTTTAGAAACATCAGTGGCCAGACTGCATTGCTTCCATCAGTTCTTTCCCTAATATTTATTATTTACAAAAAAAATGGGCTTGTTAAATGAAGATTCTCCTTCAGCAGTAGGAAAAACAGGGCTGTTGCCATTGAGGGCAACTTACTCACTGTAGGCTGAGGGGATAATGGGGTGTGGTGGGGTCTCAAATGCCCCCTTGGAAATGGAAAGCATTCTAAGGCAGGGGTCTCCAACCTTGTGCAACTTTAAGACTTGTGGACTTTAACTTCCAGAGTTGGAGACCCCTGTTCTAAGGGATGATCTTGTGAAGAGCCATGAGCTAACAACCAGGTCCACCGTTCCTCCTTAGATCTTGCAGATTCCAGTTCAAATCCCTTGGCATCTGAAGAGAAAGCAGAGATGAAGGGCTGCAAGGAACAGATTCTGGAGGAATCTGCTGAAGGAATCCAGATCTGATTGGCGCCAGCCTTGCCTAGGTGGGATCTAGGCTGCTGGTCTCTACGGAGGGATTCAAGAAGGTTGTTGAAGCCAGATGGGCTTGTGAAGATCGAGGACCTCTTTCTCCTTGGGATCTTAGTGGATTTTCAGCTCTTGCTGTCTGATCCTTGAGGTCCAGATTGGAGATATCTCAGGGGAGATGTCTTTGATGAACAAATCAACCTGGCCCTACCCGTAGGGAAGCCAGGGGGAAGTGATGACTTTGGAGGAGAAGACTTTTGAGGCTTCTCGAGAAGTCTCAAACCCATAAGCACCATATTGTGCTGGCGAGGCTCCTTGGAGGTGAGAGTTTGATGTGTGCTCCGGTGGGACATCTCCTGGACTTCCTCTTGGTGGAGCAGTCTAACCCAGAACGCGCCTTGTCAAGCTTCACGGAGGTCCCAAGTTGGATGGGAGACATTTAAGGCGTTTGCCCTGCTCTTAAAATCTCACCAGGTGTCCTTGGATGGCTTTCAGGCTTGTCTCAGCTAGAATTAATTCTTCCGACTCCATTTACTCTGCCTTGAGTCAAAGAGCAGCCTTCTACGGGTCAGTCCCAGAATGTGCGAAGGAGGAAGGGTAAGTCCTAGTCGCGGGTCCCCTTTTGGCTTTGGCAGCACCCCTGCCGGGGCACAGCTGGGGCAGTGAGCGCAAAGGGCACCAACCCTCTCGGACTGCAGCTCCCATCTTCTCCAGCCAAGTGGCCAACCGGATCACCAAATCCCAGGAACCGGCTCTTCTGCCCCTCGGGATGTTTTTTTATTGGCTCGGCATCTGTTTGATGGTGTTTTTGATGCCTCTTTTCTTTCCCGCAGCGCTCACCTTGATCTCGGCACCCCGCGCAGCCCTTCCAGGCTCACTCAGATGGCGAAGCGGGGCGTTTTAGTGGCCAGAGCGAGGAGGAGCCCGTGAAGTCGAGTTTGGCCCCGGGCTCTTCTCCCTTAGGACAGCGGCCATCCCAGGGCAGCTTCCTAGGAAGACCCGCCAGAGCCAGGAGGAGGAGGAGAGAGACTCTAGCAGGAGACCCGTGTCCTTACGGTCGTGAGAAAGCGGTTCCTCTCCTGCGCTGGGGGCCAACCGGGCGAAGACGGCTTTGCACCGCGTCCTTTCGGTCAACAGAGGCGTCTCCCACTAGCGGAAGGAACCGAATATTGTAGTGGCGAGGAACAGCATCTGCCTTTTCTCTCTCTCTCTCTCTCTCCCCCCGCCCCGCCGCGCCGCCGCCGCCGTCCTTCCGAGTTTGCCTTTCAGCCGGAGGGAGGAGACCCCGAAAGGAATGAAAGTTTGCAGCGGCTGCTCCTGGCCAGAGTTATTCGGGGGCGGCTGGCGGGAGAGCCGGGAGGAGAGCAGGACTCCCCGGCGGAAGGCTGCTCGCTTGCCGTTCCTGCCGCCGCCGCCTCCCACTTGCGGCTCAGCCTCCGCCAAGCGGTCCGTTGTTTGAGCTGCCGCCGCCGCCGCCTTTTCTCTCCCGCTCGCAACCTAGATCTCCGCTGCAGCACACATCCCTTCCTTCCTTCCCTTTCCATCCTTCTATCTCCTTCCTTCCTCCTTCCTCCTTTCCTTTCCTTCCCTTTCCATTCCTTCTATCTCCTTCCTTCCTTCCCTTTCCATCATCCTTCCTTCCCATCCTTCCTTCCTTCTCTTTCCAGCCTTCTATCTCCTCTTCCTTCCCTTTCCATCCTTCTATCTCCTTCCTTCCCTTTCCATCATCCTTTTCCCATCCTACCTTCCTTTTCTTTCCACCCTTCTTTCTACTTCCTTCCTTCCTCCCCTTTCCTTTCCATCCATCCTTCCTTTCTTCCATCCTTCTTCCTTCTCTTTCCATCCTTCTATCTACTTCCTTCCTTCCCTTCCTTTCCATCTTTCTTCCTTTCTTTTCCTTCCTTTCCATTCCTTCCTTCCTTCCTTCCTTCCTTTCTTCCTTCCTTCCTTCCTTCCTTCCGCCGCGCTTCTCCCTCGTCTCCTCCCTCCATTCACACATACGACGCACATTTCCCAGCCCTCCCTCCCGCCCCACCCCTTCCACTTTCCCCACTCCACGATCAAACCTGGGATCGCGCGAGGGACGCGGAGGGAGCTCGGGCTGGCTCTCGCTGTCGCTCGGCGGCTACTTGCCTCGCAAATCTCGCCTCGCCTCCACCACACACACGCCCCCACCCTCCGCCCCGCTGCCGGCCGCCCCCTTTCGGGCCCTTTCAAGAGCGGAGAAGAGAAAGAGGAGGAGATCAGAATTGAAAAGGAGGCGGAGGGAGAGAAGGGCTGTTCCCCGCCCGCGCTCGGCTCGCCCACCGCTTTCTCCCGGCTTCCAGGATTCCTTCAAGACCAGCCGAGCCCCGGCGCTTTCGGACTCCGGATCTCGGGAGCTCCCCTCGCCGACGGCTTGACGCAGTGACGGTGGCCGGAGGGAGAGGCGGAGGCGCTCGCTCGCTCTTTCCAGGCCGCCCAAGGATTTCTCGTCTGGGTGTGGGTGCGAGCGAGCGGGCGGGCGGGCGAGCCGGCGAGAGGCTGCTGCTGCCTGCCTGCCTGGCCGGGAGAAGAAGCTGCCGCTGGGGGAGGGGCAGGAGGGGGCAGAGGTAGCGGCGCGCAAGAGAGAGAGAGAGAGAGAGGCGGAGAAGCGGCGGCGGCGACAAGACAAGGAGGAGACGCAGACTGGGGCTGCCCCCCTCCGGATTCCTCGAGACGCCCCTCCTCGTCTTTTGAGGTCGGAGGCAGGTAAGTGAGCTGTGCGGGAGGGGACGCTCAAGCGAGCAGAAGGGCTGGAAGAAAAGGGGAGGGGGTCTCCGGGTCTCATCCCCGCCCCTGCCGCAGGAGCAGAGCCGTAGATAAAAGGGAGCGACCCGGGTAGAATCGCCGCCGTTCTTACTATACTATTACGATCATTAGCCGGAAGGCGGCTCGCCAAAGCCTCTCACTCCGATTCTGCTCCGTACATCGCGCGCCTGTAGCCGAGGCTCAGCCGGGGGGCGCCCAAACCCCAGCCCACCCAAAAAGTCCATTGGCGGACGGAAGCCGCCCTCACCTACAGCCTAGGGCCGGCGTTCCTTTCTCTCTGTCCCCCGCCCTTCCATCAGGGCTCTGCTTCCCCAGTGAATTCGGGGAGGGGGACAGTTGTTTAAAAAACAAAACAAAACGAAGAAGAAGGAAATGGGGCGAAGTCTCCGCTGCCCCAAACTTGCTTTTTATCATTTCGGTGCGACGCGCCCGAGAGTGCCACCTAACTACCGACAAACTTTTCCCGGGCGGGCTCCGGCTTGGGAGCACCTCCCGACAGGCATCCGGCAGCTCCAACGCCCTAAAGAGGAGAACGGACCCTCCCCGCCACCCCTTCTCTGCCTCCTCCGGGGAGAAGGCGTCGAGGAGAGGGAACCGGCTCCCCGTGCCCGCTGGCCCCCCGAGCGCGGCGCGTCCGGAGGGAGGCCGAACCGTTTCAGCACCACTGTGGGAGGGGACAGCTCCCGGGACTCGCGAGGTTGCTCCGAGGGGGCGTCGCGGGGTCTTCGGAGGGAGCCAGCAACGAACTACGTCGCCTCCTGGCAAGATTATCCCACGCACCGTTTCTGGCTTCCTCGCCTGGCCAGCGACCTGTGTGGTCTCCGTGGCTTAAAGCTTAACCGGGTTAGAAGCTGGCTACGACTATTGCCCTGGGACGCTGTCGCCCCACCGAGTGGAAGCGAGATTTTCGACCCTTCCTTTGGGCACATTGGGGAAGGGACAGTGGGTTGCCCTCGCCCCCCCCCATTCCCGGCGACCAGCCCCAAAGCTAAGGGGGCTGGGAGGGGGCGAGGAGCCCGGCGGAGATTCCTGCTCGGGGAAAGGGTTACGCCGCCTAGGCCAGCGGGAATCAAAGCGGTTGGTTCGCTCGCCCCGGACCTGCGACGGCGATCCGGACGTCTCGAAGGGGGGCTTGGCATTTAGAGAGAACCCGAAGGGGCGTCGAGAAGCCGGGAGAGAGCGGCGAATGGAACGTCTGTCTGCTTTTGGCCCAGGGAAAGTCGCGGGAGAAATCGGCGTGACAGGTTAACTCGCGCTTTAGATAAAGCTGTTTCTATCGCTGGCGGTGGGGGAGCCTGTCGGAAAGGATTAAGGCTGGTCCCCGCCTCTTGCAAAGCGAGCCTCGCCGAGCTCTTCGCGCCTCGCCGCCCTCCCCCCCACCCCCCACGCACCCCGAAGCCCTCTCTTCCGATTGTCTGATTAGGAGAGCGGCAAGCGCCTCCCACGCGCCCCGTTAGACGCGCCGGCAAAGGTAGACTGCCTCTGCCAAGGGAGGCTCCGCCGAGCCAGCAGGGCTGAAAAGGCTTTTTCGACTGCTTTCCTGGCCCTGACGGACTTCCGAGTTCAGCTTCGTGCCTTCCAGCTCTGCTTAACGCCAGGGGAACGTTCAAATCGTTGCTTTTGATCGGGGCAGCCGGGAAATTGGGGGCGGAGGGGGGGGAAGAGGGGGTGCGAACAACCCAGCCCGTGCCTCTGCGTCTGAATGGGGACAGAGTGGAGGCTCCGGATTGAGAGGCTCTTGCTCCGCCTTTTAATCCAGGCCAAGACCCCTGACCCGCGGCCTGCAGACAGCCCCGGATCCTTAACTCAGTTTCCATTCCGTTTCTATGCAGGCGTACTTAGGGGGAACAACCCACTGAAGTCACCGGGCTGACTCCCCGAAGAGGGCATCGGTCTAACGTCACCCCCCCCCGCTCCAATTCAGTCCTTAGGGATCTCAGCCCCGCCGCTTGGTTTCTGATGCCCGAGATCCCTTCTCCTTGGCTGGGCTCAAGGCTTCTCCATTTTCCCCCCTTGGATGCTTGCTCGGAAGCTAAGGGTCTTCCCCATCTCTCCTGCTCAGGCGCCCCTTCGCAGAAAAGGAAGCGGAACAGCCGAGCTGACACATACGGCGTTTTAATTAAAAACTATCAGGCGCGCCGGCGATCCCACCGCCCCCTTTACTACCCCCCCCTTCCTGGCAAGAGCTGGTCTACACATCCAGAAGTTCTTCCTTCCTTCCTTCCGCCCCCCCTCCTTCCCGAGTTGAGGAGGGCAGGCGCAGCTGGGTCAGGGTTGAGTTTCTCGGCCTAGTTCAGCACCGGCGCGGCCCTCTGCGAGTGGTCCAGGATTGAGTGGGTGGGGGGCATCCATTGAAGGCCTCATCCGGGAGGAGGCCGATCCAAGGGCTTTGAAACCACAGACGCTGCCTTCAAGGGCGCCGAGATTAAGGCCCTGCTAGTTGCTTGCCTTGAATGGCTTCGGGGTGGGGTGGGGTGTGTGTGTGTGAGAGCTGAAGAGACGCCCCTCCCAATCCTTGGGAGGCAGAAATGGGGGCGGGAGGGGGGTGGGGAGAAAAGCCCCCTTATGTCCCTCGAATAGGCGACAGCAGAGAGGGGGTGCGAGTCTCGACGCCTATGGGCGGAGGGAGGGGGCTTTGCATAGGGCTGGAGCTCAGGTCAGCAACTCTGCGGGGGAGGTGGGGGGGCTCAGGCCCCGTAAGGCCTTCTCCAGGTCAGAGCTAAGCGGGCAATCACGTGCCAAGCTTGCTGTGGGGGGAGGGGTCTGTGAAATGCGTGGGGCCGGGGAGAGAAAACCTTCCTTCATATTTTTGGAAGGCTGCCCAGGGGCTCACCTCGGCCGTGGGAAAGGAATGGCTGTGCTTTTTTTCGGTCAACCGCTGCGGCCTCGGTGTCCGGCGCAGCTGTGCACGATGGGACTGGGAACTCTGCCCTGGCTCACACAAGCACCGCCGCCTGGATGCGGACACCCGGTTTCAGTTTTTGTCTCCGGACAGAAGGAAGTCGTCTCGGTCGGGTCCCAATGACTCCTATGGAGAGGATTTTCCAAAGGACCGGTGGGCAGGAGAGTTTAGCACCCCCAAGCCCCGATTTGGTGCGCCTCCTGGCCGCCCAGACGTGCCGGGACGCCCGTTGGATACCCGGGAAACCGTCTCAACGTCTCAGGATCGTGCAGGGAGATTTAAGTCTCTGTGGGTTTTCTAATCCAGCCTTTCCCCCGCAACCTCCCTTTGCAAGGTCACGGGAGGCCTTGCGGTGACGCCTGCTGGCTGTTGAATCCGGCTGGGGCCTTTTCTTGTTTAACCCGGTCGGAGCGCCACTAAGAGAGCGAGGGGTCCTGCCCAGGGAAGCCTTTGGGAAGTCACGCGGTCTCCCTCGCGCCCCCGGTTCCTGACGCGGCAGGCCGGATCGCCTTCCCCGGGCATACCCCGTCCCTTTCCTTCGCTCTCCGTCTTTCCGAAAGGTCGAAAGAGCCCTGAAGGGGAGGAGGCCGAGAACCCTTCGGAGGGGTCTCTCGGGGCTGGAGGAAGGAAGGAAGAATAGAGAGGAGGAAGGAAAGATAAGTGAAAATAGGAGAGGAAGGAAGGAAGGAAGGAAGGAAGGAAGGAAGGAAGGAAGGAAGGAAGGAAATGGAGAGAGAGGGGGAAGGAAAGGGAGAGGAGGGAGGGAATGAAGGATAGGGTGGGAGGGAGGGAAGGAGGAAATGGAGAGAGGGAGGGAAGAAATGGAGAGAGAGAGGGAATGAATGAATGAAGGAAGGAAGGAAGGAAATGGAGAGAGAGAGGGAAGGAAAGGGAGAGAGAGGGAGGAGAGGAAAGGGAGGGAGGAAGGAAGGAAACGGTGGGAGGAGGAATGGAGATGGAGAGAGGGAGGGAATGAAGGATAGGGTGGGGAAGGAAGGAAGGAAATGGAGAGAGGGAGGGAAGGAAGGAAGGAAACGGTGGGAGGGAAGGAAAGGAGAGAGGGAGGGAATGAAGGATAGGGTGGGAGGGAAGGAGGAAGGAATGGGAGAGAGGGAGGGAATGAAGGATAGGGTGGGAGGGGAGGAAGGAAGGAAATGGAGAGGAGGGAGGGGAAAAAAGGGGGGAGGGAGGGAGAGTAGAAAGGAAGGGAGGGAGGAAAGGGAGGAAGGAAGGAAGGAAGGAAAGGAAAGGAAGGAAGGAAAGGAAAAGAAAGACCGAGCCACAGAGAGAAACAGCTCTTCGTTGACCCTCTCGCCTTCCTTCCCACACGCTTCCTCGCCACCGGGAGAGAAACGAGCTGCGTTTTGCATGCAGGGCTCGCTTCTGCTCCGGAGCTGCTGCTCCTCCTCCTCCTCCTCTTCCTCTTCCAGCTGCTCCGCTCCACTTGGCCCCGGGGGCTGCCGAGAAGGGGGGCGGGGAAGGGGGCAGAAGCCGAGAGAGGCGCCCTTTGGCGAAGCCCGGGTTCCGCCAGACTAGATAGAAAGCAGGGCCGCTCCTTTTCGGGTTTTCGGCCCGGAGGGTGTGAGCGAGTATCCGGCGACCCTGCGGCTGGAGGTGGGGAGGGGGGGGTCTTCCATGAAGGCGTCTGGCCCTCCCCCGCTCCCCAGAGACGGTTCCCTAGGGAGATGCGGGATCAGCTCCGGACACCAAGCGTGGGGAGGGGCTCCTGTACAGCAGGCGAGGACCCCGATCTTCGAAGGAGGGGTGTCAGAGCCCTTCCCCCTAGAGAGGAGATCAAGCCAGGCTTCGCCCAGGTTTGGTCCACACACGTGCCTAACCCACCCGCGTCGAGTTCACCTGTTTTGGCGCTTCCCACAACCTCCTGAGCCCCCACACGGGGCTGGGGTTCGCCCCGTCCTCCGTGCTGAGCTGCAAAAGGCAAAGGCTTCAAAACGGAGGTTGGCAGGCAGCGAGCTTAACACGCAAACGCGAACTCTGCCCCTTACGGGAGTCGTGTGAATGGAGCCAGACGTTTGGA